ACGAACACTGACACGGGATACGGATATAATACAACACTGACACGTAGACATGAAATTTCTCAAAAAGAAGGACACAGATACGATGGGGACATGCTATAGATAATTGTGTTTTATATATAACATTATATAATTTATAGCAAATATAGTGATAATGATATATTATCCATAAAAAAATCAGTACTTTATGATAAATAAATGTTATGTTTAGTCATCTAGTATCAATTTTTAGATTAAAGCATCATAATAGTCGATAATTATCAATTTTTTTTGTAAACAACGTATACCCAACATATATAATTTAAGTGATTACTCTTATTTTCTCAATTCCTCTTTTTTAGAACTTTTATGCATCTTTTGCTTTTATTGTTATATTTTGATTAAAAGTTTAATATGTCTAGTCTTGGTAATTACATATTCTCTCATAATATAATACACTTATTAGTCAAATTTTTAAGTTTTGTTAATCACTTGTCAACACATGTTTATTATTTATGGTTTAAACAAATGTTGGACACGCAACCAAAAAAATGTCGAACACATGTCTGAAATTAAAATTTTATAATTTAATTATGGACACAAATAAAAAGTATTGGACACGTGTTCGAGATTGTCCGAGGTGTGTCGGTCTCTGACACAAATACGTCATCTTCTTGAGAGTGTTCGTACTTCATAGTATAGATGAAAAAATACATTGTGACCTCACGGAATTCGTCAATTATAATAAATTTCCTAATAGCTAATGATATAATATTTTTTTCTTTGGAAGAGGAGGACAAACTTTTAAATTTTAGGAATATTATCGAGTTGTTTGGATTAGTTTCAAGATTGAAGGTGAATATTGACAAAAGTGTCCTTGTGCGTATTAACTCAAATCATGAAAAGATCAACAGAGTGGTGGGACTTTTGGGATGCAAGGTGGAGAAGTGACCTTTGAAGTACTTAAAGTTACCATTGACTGAGAATCCATTATCGTTAATGTTTTAGGATCCAATAATGTAAAAGTGGGAATCGACTAGATGGAGCTAGTATTCTCGCATACTTGTTATCTTTTTTTAAATTTTGAGGAAAGTAACTATGAAGATTGAAAAAAAAATAAGGGATTTCTTGTGGAAGGTTGTGGGGAAGAGAGGAAAGATCACTTGATCAATTGGGGGGTGGTTTCTAGATCTAGGGATAGGGGTGGTCTTTCAATTGGTAATATGAAGGCAAGAAATATTGCAATAATGGGTCAGTGGCTTTGAGGGTTTCCTTTGCAAATAAATTATGTGTTGCAAATATGAATTACAAGCCAACGAAAGTGATGCTAATAGGGTTAAGAGGGTAGTTTTCAATGTCTATGCAAATTCATTTCTCAGCGATTGACAAGGCTTTGCCAAAACGTAAGGTTTACGATGGGTAATGAGGAAAGAATTCGCTTTTGGATGGATGTTTGGGTGGGAGAATCTTCTCTTTCATATGTGTTTCCTCATCTCTATCATTTGACTTGCTCTCATGGCTCTTCCATTGCTTTTATGTCCGTCGTATCATTGTCTGTATTCTTAGGAATTTGGATTCCGCATCAATCAAAGATAATAGAGACAACATTGATTTGATTTATGTTCTTGATATTGTTAATAATGTCTAAGTTAATCAAACTTTACAGATAAAACAGGATGGATTTTGTGAAACCCCGAGAATCTTCTCGTGTAAAACTTTTTTTGATTCTTTATTGGATGAAATTCTTATCCATTTTTCATTCCTACTTTGCATGGGCGGTTACCTATGGCAAAATTAACACTGATGACATGCTTAAAAAAGGGTGGTCAAGTACTTGTCTTTTCCCTCAATTGTATTATATATAAACGTGCTTTTGAGAGTACTGACCATCTATTTTTACATTACCTCAGTTGTTTTGACTCTTTGGCATTATCTATTTTGAATGGCATGATTGAGTTAGGTGATTCCCACAACCTCATCTTTATTATCTGTTGAAGATATGAAAGATTGTGGGAGGCTTGATAAAGTTGTTTACTCTTTGGAATTGTGCTATCATCCCTACATTATCGGTTCTTTGCAAGGAACGAAATATAAGAATTTTTTAAATTGGAGTGAGTGAGTGGATCAACTATTGGATCGTATTCATTTTTTGATATCTTTTTGGGCTTCAGTTTTAAAAGAGTTCAAAACAATTCCGCTTTTTTGATATTTTAGTCGGATGGAGAGCTTTATGATATTTATAGGCATAATTTTTCTATAATTTTTTTTTTCTTTTCTTGGTTGAATTTCTTATCCAACCTATTATAGCAATACAAGAGTTTTATTTTCTATTTAAAAAATAATAAAATCGGAGAATCTATTAGCAATTTTAATTTTATTTCAGGAATAGAGCTCTAGCCTTTGTATTTGGAGCATATTTATGGATTTTATCAATTATCAAATAGTTTAGGATCAACAACTTGGAGAACAAAACACGTTCCTTTCTCAATTGTCTCTCTCAATGAGTAGATTTTGGCATGCAATCATTCACTGCTACAATGGTGTCTTCACTCCCCACCATAACAAATGCATCCACTATGTTTCTAGAGTAGTCAAAGAAACTATGACGGTTCCGAGTAGGAAAAAACCAAATAAGAAGTAGGGCACACAAAAATGGATCAATTTATTCAAGAAAATCCATTTTGATCAGACCAGGAAATGAGATAGGTTTGACCTCTCAAGATTTCTACGCCGACAAATGCCCCATGCCACCTTATGTGAAAAACTATGCTTGAGAAGCAAATGTAAGGTGGTCAAAAATCAGAGACTACAAGGGATGTGTGCGCTCTAATCTCCGTCCTTCTAGGCACCACCAAATGATGGACTTTGCTAACCAGCCCTCAGCTAAACAGAAGTAAATGTTTTTGTAGGAGTGGAAAGGGTGGGATTTGTGATAAATCAAGATCCACTCCTTCTCTTTGACACTAACTTATGAAAGAACTTACTCAAATGAAAGTACCAAGGAAAGAAGAGCTAAGAATAGAGGGCAAATCTCTATGAAAAAGAAACCAACTGTAACTCACAAGCCAATGAGAGGTGAGTTGGGGTAGAACTCCATGATTTTGCATAATACACATTCCAAGACTGTAATGATCATACTTCCTCATCACGCACTGCCATAGCTTTATATGTTAATGAGACAGCCTTAAGTGGGATGACTAAAAGGATCATTGATAGGCTCGATTTGAACTGATGACTAGGCCATACCATGTGATAGGAACTAGGGAGCTTTGCACAAGAGAAGACATATTTCAATGGTCACAATAACAAAACTTGAAAGCATTTATCCTTGACCTTGACAAAATGAAGCATAAGTGTTACATTAAACCATCTGAGCATCACACTTAACAGGAGGTGAGCAGATGATTTGACCTGTTATGCAAGGTTGTGAGAACCCACAAAATGGAGATACGAGGTGGGCCATGAGAGAACAAGACATAAATGAAGAAATGTGCTTCATTTTGAGAATTTGAAATCTTCAACTTCTTGTCTTATCAAGCAAATGTGTAACCAGCCAGTTACGATTATTATGACATTGTTATGAGATAAGTAACTCTTCTAAAGAGATTATGTCCAAAGAACCATCTATTTTCATCCTGATGGTATAATAAGAAAATACAATAAGCACATTCTGAAGGAGATTCATCCATCTGTGATGGGGCCTTCTTGGAAATTAGTCAGCTACAAGATGAGATAAAGACTAACAATATGCATAGTGTAAAAGCATGTGATTAAGAAAGTAGGTATTGAATTGATACACTGCGCAAAGGCATCCAGGCTGTAGCAAATGAATATAAAACTAATTACTTTAAAAAAAAATTCTAAAAGAAATGAATTAAATTCAATGACCATAATTTGAGGCTAAATAGAGTAAACGCAATGAATTCTTAAGCGCCAAACAATTAAGGAATCAATCAATCACCATTTGCTTGTCTCAGCTACTCACAGTTGGTAGTTCATCTTAGTCTAACACAACCATTTTCTGGTCATAGATATTCAGCGTCAGCTTATTTTAGTCTAAACATGAGATTCTAAATTTCAATGAATATAGACAGGAAAAAAAAAAGGCCTCTTATGAAGTCCTGCTATTTCTTCTTTCCGCTATAGTTTTACAATATTGGCACTTCCAACATGCACAGGTATCTGATTGCTTCATTTATTACATCACAACCCATAGAATAGAAGGCTAACTCTTTCAAAGTACACATGATAGGGGGAACAGTACTGTTTGATATAAAGTTTCATGATTTCCTTGCCACATATTAGCATATTGAAAAACAAAAATTTCAAAGAAACAAAGTTAATTGTGCATACATTTATTCATGCTAGCCATTTTCACTGAACAAATTACTTAGAATACACTACATGGGACTTGAGCCTTATAAACCCTGGTATAAAGATCAAAATACCTTAGCACACGCCTTCCTAAATAAACTTCTCAAAAGTTGAGATCTACAGATGGACACACCACCACAGCTGAATAAATTAGATAATTTGGTATGTCCTACATATTTGGATTTGGAATTGCAAGTCCAACCACCTCAATAGTTATGCAATACACAATCAAACTTACTTCAAAATTCTAATCCACCTTAACATTTGCAAGTCCCTCTATTCTCTCCGTCCTTTTCACTTTTTCTTTTTCTTTTCTTTTTTGTGGGTTATTGAATTTTCTTGAAATCCGACTTCATATCACAAATCTAGACAAGAGACCATTCAGTCAATTTCCCTTAAAATAATCCCGAACCAAAATCCAAAAGAAATATGAATTGAATACTTCAACTTTTCATTCCATACTTAGCTCATATCAGAAGGCAAATCAAAATCAATAAAAACCCTCAAGTTCATAATTCGTTTGCTTGAAACACCTATTAATAATAACAATTACCACATAGGCACAAACCACTGCATTTGACATATTTATATGGCAAGCAATTAAAAGTGATAAAAGGATAAATGCAACAAAAGAATATGAGAAAAATCTCACCTAGTTAGGCAAGATAAAACATATCATCAGTCATTAGAAGGATGTACTGCAAAATTCTCAAAGGGGCATTCCGAAAATCCAATGGGGGCAACCTCAATTCCCTAATCCTACACCCCCCAGAAGAACTCGCACAGTTACCATTCGGCTGCCTAGCACGAACCCGGTTCGAATCCAACTTCCTAAACAAATACACTGCATTGGTGCTCCAAACTGATCTTCCACCAGAATCCCTTGATGAGTTGTCCTTAGTCTTGAATAGGGTCCAACCCATTCCGGCTAGAGCCTTAGAAAAGCCATCCATTGAGTCAATTCGATCACGGGTTAGCCGCGAAATCAAAGAAAGTGAACAACAATCCCAGTTACCACTAGTCTGATGACCAATTCTATCAAATAGATTGAGGCTAGTGTTCAAGAAAACCAATTTGAAGAACCCTTTTGAGAGGGAGGCAAAAAGGCGAAGGTGAGATAGAGAAACCATGGTGAGGGAAGGGAACGACAGGGGAACGGCGTCGTTTGGCAAAGACCATGATGAGGAAGAATATGACGATAGGGATGTTGATGACCATGACAATGAAGGGTATGATGAGGAAGAAGAGGACGACGGTAATGGTGATGAAGATGGCCATGAGAAGATGATGTGAGAGAGAGATGGGTTTGGGTATAAGTCCATGCCAATATCTCTTGCCAATGTTGCTAGTCTGTATGTGTCTGTGACTACCTCTTTTGTGGGGGTGAAGAGCAGTAATGGGGTTCTGGTTTTGGCTTTGTGTTTGGGTTTGCTAGTGTGTTTGTGATGGACATTGGTATCGTCAGCATCATTTTCAAGGTCACTGTCAAGATGGTGATGGTGAGTTTGGGTTAGGGAGAAAGGGTTGTGAACGGTTTCACCCAAAACCAGAGAGCGGACCAGCTTTAATGGGAGCATCTTTTCTGTCTGTCTGTTGCTCTCTCTACGGAGCAATATACCTTGTTGATAAAGTGATAAGGACCAGAAATTAGTTTCGGACAACCGTCGTTCTTTTCTTTTGACCTTTGTGTATACCAAGTGGATGTGGTGTTTGATTCTGTGCTTTACTTTTAAAGGAGGAAGTATGGTTTGATCATTTGGATTTCGAATTTTATCAAGGATATTATAGCCCAGAGATGATAAATGGGTGGGTTGTATTGATTATGTGATGGGTTAAATTGAGTTGGATTAAAATAAATTTAATTAAATTTTTACTCACATAATAAATGGGTCATAATAATTTAAGTTTATAACGAACTGGGTTAAACTCGTTAACTTACAAAACACAAACACACACAATTACACTAAAATAAACACATACACTACTATACCAAAATACACACATACATGCACACAAAATATTATACTAAAATACACACACACTATTACACCAAAATAAACACACAGTAATCAACAAAAAAAAAACATACACACACAATCTTGATACAATGTGACATACAAACAATTACACATTGATAAAATAAAAACACAAACACAATTAGTGTTTTATCGTGTAGCATATTTCATACTAATAATTTCGTAGCAATCCTTCATCATAACAAGAAATAATTCAAAAAAAGATACACATAACCATTGTATCATGTCCCATTATCATTTAATACTCACAAGTTGGGTTGAGCAAATGGAATACATACTCAACCAAACATTAGGACAAGTTTAAAAAGAACATTACAAAATCTACTACAAGACATGTTATTCATTGTCAAATAGTTTGTTCACTTCCTTCTTTGACGAACCTTCTTCATCTTAAACCAAAACAAAAAACAAAATGAATATACTGTAAGACCCAAAAGGAAAAACTAAACGAAAAGTTAAACCAAGTTTACAATAATCACAACAAAAAAAAAAAAAAACCTTACATATCTATTTTCAGCATCATTATTAGACTCCACACCAACTTCCCAATGTCAATTTCAAGTTCCTCCTCCTTATCTGAATTTTCTTGAACTGCTTAAAGCAAGTCCATGATATTAAATTCTAATGTTGTAAATCTCAAAATAATTAATTATAATATTAGCATGAAATTGCAAGAGTTAATTTTATCTTTTAAACCATGTAACCAAGCTCGAGTGCATAATAATGCCTCTACATTCTTCGGCAAAACTGAACTACGATATTTTCCAATGATACAACCTCCAATACTAAAAGTTGATTCTAAGGCAACTGCAGTAATGAGAATGCTCAACACATCATAGGCCAACAATGAAAGCTCTGGATACTGGGTCCTATTTGCTTTTCAAAAACTTAGAACATCCAATTGCGCATTTTGTCTCCGATCAAGTAAAGATTATTCTAAGTATAGGTCCAACTGTGATTTATTTCTGTTCAATCCAAAACGTTCTCTCTCAAATAACTCAAACTCCTACATTAATATAAACACAATATATAAGAAAATTACTAATAAATCTATGAAAGTATATATATGATAATAATTATAAAAATAACTAATTAGTGATGTTACTTATATCCATTTCATCTTCATCTACTCCACTAGAAGCATTTCTCATTGTCAATGGATTAGTTGCAAAAGCAGATGGGGGAGAAACACTTGTACTCTTGAAAGAGTAAAGGCAACTTCATCCGAACATTCCTTATATTTTCTTCACATGTTTCAAGATCAAGCTTTGCAAATGCAAATTCAACAAACTTCAACTTGTAACGAGGATCAAGCACTATGGCAAAGGAAAGCACTATGCTATAACAATCCCAATACTTGTCAAATTTTCCCTTCATTTTGTTGTGCCATGGAACTTATAACTTTATTTGCACTATTTAGCTCCTCTAGTATGAGTGTTTGAAATTTTCATACGCTATGAAAATACAAATTTGAAGTGGTATATTGACTTCCTGAAAACAATGTTGTAATGTAATAAAAAGGTTTGAGAAACTTTGATATCCTTTCAACCATGTTCCATTCCTCATTGTGATGGACATGTTTTGAAGTTAGTATCAATCAATTGCACTTGACAGAATGCCCGACGATATAATAAAACACATTCAAGCATAAGATAGGTTGAATTCCATCTTGTTGGCATATCTTGGCAACTTTCTTACCACTTTTTATGGACAATTGTGCAATGCATTCTGCAAATTTGATTATCCTTCCCTCTGTACCCCTAACATATTTGACACTTTCTCGAATCTTATACGCAGATCCATCAATCATTTTCAAGCCCGCTTGAACAATAAGATTCAAGTTATGAGCACCACAACGTACATGAAGAAATTCACCATCACAGATCAAAGCATTTGTTAAAGAAAGATGATTCTTCAACAAATCAACCAAACCACCATTATACTTTGCATCATCCAAAGTAATGGTGATTTTTTTTCTCAATTCCCCATTCTTTTAGAAAAGTAATCACCTTTTCTGCTAAAAGTGGTCCATTATGAGGTGGGGGTATATAACGAAAGATTAATATCCTTTTCTACAATACCCAATGTTCATACACATAATGGGCAATCAAAGTCCTATAACTATTTGTGGTGAGAGAAGTCCATAAATCTGAAGTTAAAAAAATACTACTTAGAATTAATTCCAATGCATGTTTAAGTTGTTCTTTCTCCTTTTTATAAGCTTTCAAAATGTCCAACTTTGCGGTGTTTGTTGAGATTGATTTCACATATGGATTCAAGAAATTATGACATCAGAAAGCTTCTTTCGATAGGCATCTTGATCAAAAGGTAGTTGAGGTGCCAACTCATTTGTGTTATGTTCGGGATAACAAGTTTTGAGATGTCGCTTCAAATTCGATGTTTCGGACTTCAAGTCTACCATATACAGTTGGTCACACTTTGTACACCGAACCTTTTGTCTCCCCTCACTATTAATAAGTAATTGCTTAAAAATATCTCAAACTATAAAGCGAGACTTTCTATCTCGTTTTCCAGTAACGAAACTTTCTTCACCATAATCAATATTATCTTCCCTTATATTATCTCTTGAAGACATGAAGGCCTCAATATGAATCTACACCCACAAAAATAAGCATTAAGCAACATAATAAAGCATTCTAAAGTATATCCAAATAGTTTCAAACCATTAATCAACTATCATAGTACATGTCACTAAGTATTTAGAATAACTAGAGGATGCTAATTCCAAAAAAAAAAAAAAACCTTCATGCAAAGAAATGTTAATAACTAATAGGAGTGCAGATGAGCCTACACCTTCATGCAACATTATCCCCATTTAAGTATTCATGGGTGCTAGACCCAAAGTTAATCTTCAGTTTGTGGGTTCAAATATGAAGATAACTACATTTTGAGAACAAAGTCAAACATAGGTCTATTCTCGGTTCATCTCTCCAATACTCCATTAATGGTGACTGAGGAATGATGACAAATACTCATTCGCTCATATCATATGATGTGGGTTTGAGTCATGAAATTTGCTTCCTCATAATGGGAATAAGATTCTCTATCATTTATCTTTCTCAAATCTTACTATCAAGGAAAATTTTGTGTTGACAAAAATTATCACACTAAAACTTGAAAAAGGGAAGGAAGAAAGTCTGTAGCTAAATAAAATGAAAAGAAAAAGAAACCCCTGATGAAAAGCAAAAGAAAATGACCTTTATAATATTCAACATCACTAATTGTGTGGTCTCTTTCTGTTGTAGTCTCTAGTTTAAAAGTTTGCATATATGCACCAATCACCATAAACGGGGTTATTCATTACATGATGATCCAATCATAATTGTATGGAGTAATTGCATTCAAACTTTATTATTTTCTTTAGTCAAGTCTAGTGCATGGTGTCCACCAAAAAAGTTAGCTAACGCTCATTTTGACGCCTAAACAGCTTTTGGTCATTTCATCAAACAAGTTGTAGGCATGTCAAAATTGGTCTTTTAGCCAAAAAAAAAAAATACAACTCAAGTTATTCAATATTCAATTCAAGAAAAACAAAGATAATGCTAACAGAGAGGCAGAAAAGGAAAAAACAAGAAAGTGGGGCATTCGATGTACCGAGACAATATTTTGGGAAATTTCAATAATAAAATCGAACGGGACTCACTTTGCAATCTTGAATGATGAGGAGATGTGAGATTCAATAACCAAATTCTAGTCGGAGTAGCAGTAGAGGTGAGACTAGCAGTGTGTGGTGGAGGATCTGGCTTTTAACGTCAAGAGGGGAGAGATGGGATTCTAACGGCTGGTGTTTCTATTTTGTATTAATTAGTTTTTAAGAAGAAAACCCAATGGGTACCTATTTTAAACCCGATTGAACCCATAGATTTAAACTAAATAATAGCACCCAACCCATTTTTAACCTATATTAAAAAATAAGGTACCCAACCCATTAATTTATGGACGGGTTAGTGGGTTGTAGGCAAGAATTGCCACTACTATTATAACCAAATGGATCAATAGGTCCAAACTCGATTTTAGTGTGTCATTAAGAATATGAATCTGTGAAAAAAACAATATAGTCCCTAAAGTAAGTGTTTGTTTACTTGGTTCTTGAAAGTAGAAACTATATGATTTTTCACCCCTAAAAAGTAACCGGCGGTTTTTGTTCCGAAAAGTTTGGCATTAAAAAATTTAAAACCTAAAACCACACTAAAAATTGAAAAGTAAAATGATTAGTTGCCAAAAACGTTGAAGATCGTTGAGAACCTACTCTAAAGTAGTTGAAGTGTCAAAATCGAAAAATTAATAAATTAATAAAGAGGCAATGTGGTAATTAGGCTGTTCAAACAAGGTTATAAACTTGAACTTTTACGTAACTTGGATGATAAAATAGACCTCACCATTAGATTCATCTCGCAAAATTTTACGAATTTTTACATATCAGAATTTGTAAATATGTAAAAATATGTATATTTTTATTTATATGTAAAAATACATATAATCAATACATATAATGCTAGAATTCCCTTATATGTTTTAATGCTATAATTGATATTGTGTTTTCAATTGAAATACAATTGTACATACATTGCATGTGCATGAGTTAAACATCACATCCACAAGACATTTGGCATG